TTATTTTTTTTTTTTCGAATTTTTTGTTTATTTTCGAAATAAACAAAAATGTTTATTTCGTTATTTGTTGTTTATTTCGAATTTTTTTAAAAAATATTGCTGGAAGTTTCCTTAAGATGAATCGTATGGCACTTCCGAGTTTACGGCGTTTCACACGACCCTATCATAATGACGAACCGTTCAGTGTGGTTTTTCTACTGGACCAACGTGTAGGCATTGTGCAATGTGCATCGTGTGGTGTTGATTTTTCACGACAGCCGCAGCCTCCGGAAGATTTAGTTCTGGAACATGTGGAACGTTTTTGGAACCAACGAACTTGTGCTTACTCCACTCAACAAATGCAAAAGAAGTATGTTCCTCCGTTATTGGTAGGCTGACATCCTTCCATGTTATGCATTTTTTGTCGCCTAAATTGTTCATGAATGAGTGAACTTTTTTTAGAAAAGAAAACGAAACATATATTATCTGGAATGAAGAGAAATAAGGAATGTAAGGCACCAGTTATTAAGATTTTTCTGAAAAAATTATTTTCTGATATATAGCAATAGGGGACCATAGCAATATTAGTAATTATAATTACAAGCGATTTTTATGGTTTTTATCGTTCTAACTTGTTGATCTTGCTCTGAGTTTAGGATGAGAGCAATATAAGCAACCCAATTGTAATACAGAACGTCTAATGCACTGTTCAAAAGATTTTCTGAATTATCACTAACAGCGACTTTCCTTCGAGTTTGTCTTTCTCTTCTTCTGTCTTTATTTTCTCTTTTACGCTTTCTCCATTTGTTTGGGAAAATATATCACGAAATTTCAGGCCTAACATGGCTTGTTCCAATAAACAAAGAAATTACAATTATTTCTTTAAAAAGAAACATGTTTCGATTTCATCAGCCGTGTTTACATTCCTTCATTTTCTTAATTATTGAAAATTGTCACCGGAATTCTGGAGAACTTCCAGAATCCTTCAAACTTCAGATCCATCCTCTTGTTTTGTGCACCGGCATTAAAAAACATAGTCTTATCATGTCTGTCCTTTTTATCTCAATTTTTTTTAACGCTTTTTATCTTAAATTTTTATTCTCAATTCCTTTTTATCCTAAATCTCAGTTTTATCTTTTTAACTCAATTCGATTTTTCAAGCGAAAAGAAGGGCGAAAAAAGTTGGCGGTATTACAGATCCACCAGTTATTTGGACTAGTTTTGGTTCGATAAATAGTTATCCCGTTTCAGATATATACATGCACGGTTGGAATGTGTCTTAGCGCGGTATGAATATTTTACAACACTGGATTTCCTTGTAATATCTGATGATGTCCGAATGCGCCTGACTAATGTCCATCAACAACATCTAAGTATTGAATTTGGTTGTTCATTCGAATAAAACAGGTTGCTGCTATTTTTATTTAAAATAAGTAATGATTATAAAGCTATGCTGTAAGCTTGTGAATATCATAAACCAGTAATTTCCATTCCTGACTATCTTTTGAAAATCCTAAGTCGAAGATAGATTTCAATAAGAAGGTTTAGTTTTTAAGGTTATATTCAAGATCATATTCTTTTGAACTAAAACCCTCTTCATATAATTATGCCGATGGCAACTTTTTCATCACATTCAGTAATGAGCTTACTCCTTATTTCACTTCGAAAGAAAACTGAACTTTTTTACCTCTGTGTCTCCAAATGAATCTCACTACCGTACGGGCGGATTGTTTGAGTAATATGAGCTATCTTATCAGCTGGGTGTTATCAGCTATTGTCGTCCGATCGTTTATCTCGGAAAAAAAAATGTAAATTTACCAGTATGTAAATGTTCCGATCAACCAGTCAATTTTTTTGTTTTTTTCAGGGAATCCTTTTTGGAACAAATGTCAGTCATTGTTTTTGCCTTTTAGATGTTGCTTTTTTGTATCCCCTCGTTTTTTATTTGTGACATCGAATGCATTAAGCTGATACATTAGACTCAAATGTAACATTAGAAATCTCTGTGTCTTGTGTGTTTCGCGCTTTAAGTAATGAGTAAATTTAGTTTCTTTCTGTAAATAATATGCTTTTTATGATATAGAAGAAAACAACTGTAAGTGCTATACGACGCTTTGTTTTACTTTTTTTTTCCTATGCCTGAATATGTTTATAAAGAAGGAATTGTTTTAACATTGAATTCCATATTTTTCATGATAATAAAAGATTCACTGTTTTCAATTCTTATTGCAGATCAAATTCAGTTATTTTTAATCAGTTCCGTATTTCGAATACTTCTCGTTAACTGTGTTGATATCACGCAGCTTTCACAATTAGAAGCTTTTTATCATCGTTGATCATTTAGTTCATCACATAGATTCCATTCACTCTTGTGTTTGTTATTCAAGTCGTTTCTCATAAAAAATCTCAAAATGCAATTGATGCAAGATCAGAAAGAAGTTTGCTTATACCTTCTAGAATTGATGCAATATAAATCTTTTTAGTTCGTCGTGATGTTTCATTCATATTGCTCCAATAATTTTTTAAGGCTTTTTGGCATATATTAATGACCGATGATCAGGAAAACAGAAATTTTGACAAAAAAGATGTAAATATGGTAGAAGGTGAGGCGGAATCTGTTGGAATAATTCGACCTGAAATGGTAGATATGGCACGGCGTTTTATGATGATACCAAAAATTCGACAAACATCTCTGGTTCAGCAAAAACGGTTCTTGCTTCAAAAAGGTTTACGAGAAGATGAAATTAACGAAGCAATGAAAGGATTGCCATTACAGCAAGATATGTGGGTAAATAATTTTAGAAGTTTTTACTGTTTGAGTCATTTAAGAGATCTTATTTAATGTCGAGAACTTATGATTTGATATGGCAAGAGGCGTGTAACAGTAAATTTCTCCATTGTAAGACTACTACAGAATATCAGAAATTTATTAGTGACGAGGTGAAAAAATGGTAATTGTTATTAATCATATCACTGTTCGAAGGACTGGGGATTTTTTTCAGTTTTTTTCCTTTTTTCATCATGAAGTATTTCTTTTGACCAATAATGTGGCGCCATTTTGGTTGACACAAAATAGATCTACCGATATTGTGCATTAGTAACGGTATTAGTAGTATTGCTGCTGTTGTCGATGTGATAATTGGTTATCTGATCTTCGTATTATTTTTCAAGGATTTTCTTAACACATTTAAATTTTCAGTGTCAAATTTTCTGTTCAACTAAAATATTTGTGCGACAATTTTATTAATATAATGGGTTACTCATTACTTACAGCATATCAATAATACAGCAATGGGGCATGCAATCACATCTGGTTCATCATATTTTTCAACTGGGTCATCGGGAATCAGTACGTTGTTGGGGTTAGCGAAATATGCAATGATTATCACGGGTTTTTCATATGCTAGTTGGCAGTTGTTACGTTCATATGTTTTACCACGTTTCTTCAATGTTTCGCAACCAGTTGAAAAAAGGATCCATGTTATCGAAGAAAAGGTTGGTTCCCAAGCGTATTTTCTTTATTTCCGATAAAAGTAGGTGGAAAATTTCCAGACTTAAGATCAGAAATTTCGTGACTTCATTGGAAAACGTCATTGAATGTCAGATTGAAAGTATATTATATTATAAGCTGATAATGACAGTCCAAACTTGACTTTGTATTCAAATAAATTCAATGCAGGAAAAGCGTAGTTAAACAATAACAAAAAGTCGAAACATTTTGGCAGTTTATTCATGTGGCATATCGGTTAAAAAGAAGATTATGATTTGAGGAACATTTCGACATAAGATTTCTCAAAAGATCTCAGAAAAGTTGTACTTAATGGTGCATGTCACTATAAACTTAAGCGGCAAACGAATAAACCAAGCACTTTTCTTTTTTGAATAAACAACAGCAGTTCATTTATGAATGTTTTTCTTTAAACAATAGTGATTTGGTTGATCATTTACGAATTTCCACTGTATCTTCAAAAGCTTTGAATATATGTTGTAAATATAGGTTGTAATTTGACTGTAAAAACAACATTTAAGTTTATTTGTTATTTTTTCCATTTGGTTCCATTTTTAAAGTATTTTGTTTCTCACAGATAGATGAAATGGAAGGAATAATACGGGATGTAACGACCGAATTACTTCTAAAATTACAAATACTCATTGATAAACAAAGTGTCACGGATCGTATTTCATTTCAAAGCGGTATTAGTTGTAAGTTACTGGTATTCTTGATAATAATTAAAAATACTTAAGATGTGATTGGTATTTTATTGATATCTTTTTAGGTTAGTATTATTGTTATTTATAATTTAGTGTGGTTCACTTTTGAAACTTCAAGTTTTCTAGTATTTTGAATTATTTTATTTGAAATTAGAATTTCTTTTTTTCCAGATTGTTCATTTTCCAGATTTTATAATTTCTATTTCATTTTCATATCTCAAATTTATATCTTTCATTCTCTTTTATCATACAACTATTCAGAGGTTTTCTTTTCTTTTTTTTTGCTTTTTATAGCATCGAAACTTGACGACATACAACAGAGTGTCGAGAACATCAGTGCAATGCTCGTGAGCAAGGAGAAATCATCACCATTTCGAGCATTAGCTAGAAATCGTGCCGCAGTAGCTTCTCGTGTACTCATACGAACTGAGGATGGAAGTGGGTAGGTGTGTGCAACTGAAGTTATCTTCATCGTCAAAAAAAAACATAATCCTCTAAAATTCTGCGTTTTTAAATTGCATATATGAAATAGTGGGATAGACGGGAATTTGATAGTTTTCGACATTTCTTCTTTCTTAAATTTAGTCTACGTATTATTCTTACAAAATTAAAAACATAAGTTTCGATATTTCGAATTAGGAAAAAATTAAAAAAGATTTTCAGATTTGATTTCTTCAGATCTGGTAATTCTGATAACGAACGTTTAGAAGATGCATTTGTACCAGTAAGGACATCGGCATTGGCAAAGGAGCATGGTAGTAGTGCTCAAGCAGAGAAAAATGATTCTGGCAGTGATTCTTAGATGAAATCTTCACTTTAGAAACCGTCGTTATGTAGCAATTACTTTTTATTTGTGAAAAATTCTTTGAATACCTGCAATGACCTTCGAAATCATTTTCAAGTTTTCAAATGGTCGAAATTTCTGTTTTCAAATTTATTCTATTTGGGAAATTTTTTGATTTCGTAATCGTACTGAGTAATTTATCAGAATTTTTTAATTTCAGCTAAAGTATTTTGGGGGTTTTCGCATCACGGCCACTTTAAATTCAATTACAAAGCATTAGGATTACTAACCTTTATAGTGATGAGTATTTAAAGGACGAAAATTTATTCCATATTTTCATAAATAATTGGTAAAAATTGTTTTGAAATCAGTTTTCAACATAGTTTGAAATGCTGGAAAGCTTATAAATTTGAAATTTGTCTTACTTTTGAAGCCAACAATTTTTGTGTTGATATGAGATCAACAAACTAAACTAATAATTTATGGGCGACAGGCAGAAAAAAGGGAAAAAAGTTTCATTTTCAACCAGAACTTGGCAAGATTTCATGATCTGCATTGATATTTTCATGCAAAAAATATTTGCTATTTGAAATTTTCCAGCAAATTTTTTGGTATATTTATCAAGATGATAAGTTTCTACGCAAATTTCGTTCCAAATCAAATTCTTTCACTTAATGACATTTCGTTTACTTACCTCATTCATTTTCCATTCTGCGAAATGTCATTATTACCATATCCTTTATATTTGTAATTTTCTTTCATTTTGAAATTGCGATGATCTTTTGAACAACTCAAGCCTTAGCTCTATATACATTTCCATTTATCATTATAATGGTCAGTTGTTCACTGCAAACAATTAGTACTTTGCTTTTAATCCATCCATCCACCAATCGAAAGATTGATAGTTTGAAGTCTCATAGCAAAATATGACATCTGCGATGAATTTTAAGTGACGAAGACAATGCGTTCAGTTATGAAAAGGCATCATTTTAAAGTTAACACGTGATAGGTTGAAAAAAAGTGACGTTAAAAGGGAATACAGAAAATGAACGAAATGACTGTTTATTAAATCCGTCAAAAGTTAGGCCTGTCACATACATGGAGATGTGCTTCATTAGTTTTAATTATTAAAAAATTGACCATTCTTTTACTACCATTGTATAAATTCTATGTTTTGAAAACTAAAATGTATTACGAATCGATGAAAGGATATAATCTCTTAAAATGGCTTTCATTTCATCCTTGAATATAATCGGAAAAAAATTAAAATTGGTAATAAAGTAATTGATCCTGCAATTCATACCACAATTATCGTTATCCTCAACCCCTTGGCATGTATGGATTTACTTTTTCGAAAATGATAAGCTAAAATGACATGCCTTCAAAAATAATCATCTAATTCAATAATTTGACATGACAAAAGCAGTTGGTGATAACGAAGGTAGTGACAACTAAAAAGATGATGATGACCATCATCATCGTGTCAGGCAGAAGTTTTTATGAGAGAAAAAAGCAATTAAGATAGCGATGGCATTTTATCCAGTAAGATTAATTGCCTAAAATCTAAAAACACCGCATATGTTTTGCATAGGTAATTAATTAGCACATTTTGAAGTGATAATTTCTCACCTCTTTTCGAGATTTTACTCATTCTCGAGATGAAAAATCTGAGTCTATTTTATGACCTTCCAATAACTAACGGTTCATTGCTTTGATTAAAAATCAATAAGTAAAATGCAGCAATAAAGTTAATTTTATTACAATGTTATTTTGAAAATTTCTTACTTTTCAATATTTTCCGGTAACTTTTCATGCTTTTTCTCTTTTTTTTTTCATTTATCAAACAAATTATCATAATTAAATGGTCAGTTAATTTCAAAGGAAGGAATGTTCAAAATGCAAATATTCATTTAAATATTATTAGAAATTTGTTGCTAAAGATAGATTTTAAAGGGTTTTAAATTCAAACAAATTAATTGAAAAGTAATTTTGCTCAAATAGTTTGGTTGAATTTAAAATTCTTTAAAAAAAAAGAATTTACAAGCAAATTATGTATGCATAATTGAAAAATTTCGTTGGAAAATGAATTTCAAAACAAGAAACAGTCAAAGTAACTTGTAGATAAAGAGACATGAGAGAAGCTAATTAACTTGTTAAAAATAAGTAAGGAAATAAAACAAATATATTATTTAATTAATAAAAGTGATAATGAGTATTCTGCTAAAAAAAAAGCGTAAATCAAATGTTTCCTTTTTTCATGGATTCATTATTTTACGAAGAAATCAATTCTTTGATTAATGTTTGATAATAGGTGATAACAAATCATATTTTAGTTTGACTGATAGTAAATTATATTCCAATTTGACTGATAAGAAGTTATACAATTTTCAGTTACATTTGTTTCTGCAACTATTTAATGGCTAAAAGATGAATAAAATAATGGTTTTTGCTTTTTGTTTGCAATAATTGCATGCTTTTTCCTTGCATGTTATGCAAATTATCAATATTTTATATGCATGCAATAAATATTTTGCATGTTTACTGCATGTAAACTGCATAGAAATTAATCAATTAATTTGTCTACTGGATGATACTATGAACTACATAATTTTTTCATTGCATTTCATTAAAGTATCCAAATGCTTTTTTTAAAATCAAATTTCACTTTTCATCACTTTTTGTCCTCAAATAAAAAACTTCATTTTTATTTGAATTTTAGTTTGTACTGCGAAAAAAAAAACGAAATAAATTATATTATTGATTGACACAAGAAGCAATTATCATATCACTTCATCTCTTTTGAAACATCTATTTTATTCGATTTGAATTTGCATTTGTTACTTTTACGTACGTTTTTTTGACGTATTGATTGAAATGATAATAGATTTATCATCAGTGAGATGATTTTTGATTGTATAATTATCATAAATTTGCAAAAAGTTTTAACTAAGTCCTTCTTTTTTTCTTCATTTTAAATAATCTAAAAAGATAAATTAAGTAGTAAAATGAATGGAAATTGAAATGAAATTGATAAGTGTTACTTCATTTCGTGATGGTAATAAGAGGAGTTAAAAGGAATAATTAGCATAATTTATTATGGAAAGGTAGAAAGAGTAAATTAATGTATTGAATTTTATATTTTGATTTATTATTTTCTTCATTTTTTTTCTTCTTTTCTTTTTCTTTTTCTTCTTTGTTTTATATTTCTTTCTTTTTCATTTCATTTCATCCATGATTTATTACCGCTTTTGCGTATTTTGTTTTGTTAGTATCTTCTTTTTTTTCTTTTTTCACTATTCACATGGTTGTGCTTCATTCTTTCCCAACACTCAATTATTACTAAACTTTTGTAGAATTTACTTAGTAATTAATTATTCAAGTAATAAGGATATATTTAGTAACTGAATATGGTCAAATATACTATTATCAATAAAAATTTCATTCTGAATAATGAAAAGTTTAAAATATGAATTAATTAACTAGAAAAATGAATAAATGAAAAAAATAATTATTTTTGATGATGAATGGTTCTAAATTTTGCTGATAATTGGATTATGATAATAGTTCAAGAGAGTTAACAGAAAATGAAAAATACTTTGATCGCTAGATATTAGTCAAATCTAATTATCAGATAGTTCAACTAATTAGCAATTTAGATCAACGAAATTTTCGTACGAACATCGATTTTTAGTGAAGAGTAGTTGTGATGCGCTTTGTGATGAGTTTAGCGGAACGATTCAGATAACTTTACTTCACAACAATTTTGTCCTGATAATACTACTTCACAACGATATGATTTTATATGCCTTGGTTCATCATTGTAGCATAATTTTAATAACATTGGTGTATTACATCGATATGATTCCGTAATCGTTAGAAACTCTAAATTACAATTGTGTGTGATTTTATAGCTATAATTTACAGTAGCATAATTCGATATTACTGGTTTGCAACTGCATGGTCTTGTTAATCTTAATTTTTAACAATATTGACTTGTATCATATGTCAAAAGTGCAATAAAGAAGAAATCGAAAAGACAATCTTTTTTTCTTTTAAATGTTTGTTGTTCTTTTCTCAAATATGCACAATTTCTTTACAACATTTGATGTCTTCTTTATTCAAAAATAATTTTCGAATTCATTATTCGCCATTTCTCTTCTCCAAAATTTCATTTCCATTTATTTCATAATGTAATAATCTGCTCAAAAACTATTAGCCATAAATTCTACTTAATCAAGATCAAAACAATAAATCAGTATTTAAAATTTGTAGTAATTAATAACAATAATAATAACAATAATAATAATAATAATAATAATAATAATAATAATAATAATAATAATAATAATAATAATAATAATAATAATAATAATAATAATAATAATAATAATAATAATAATAATAATAATAATAATAATAATAATAATAATAAT